TTTGCTGATAGCTCAAAATTGGAAGAGTAAAATTTTACCTACAATGGAGGACTGGAGATTGAAGGTCTCGTACCTTGCTGAAATGGCAAAGATCTCGGCTTATTTGAAGAATCATTCAAATGAACAATTTTTATTAATATGGAGAAGATGGATTGTTTATATTCAAAAGAAGCATAGAATGGTGGAATATAATTTAGGTTTTTAGTTAACTTGTTCTTTTTTTTATATATTTCACCTACTTATGTAGAATAATATTTTGTGGAGTTAGGGATATTAATAGTAGTTTACTTATATCTGAATAGTATCCTGGGATTAGGTTTGGGAAGTCCGGGGGGTGGGTGGGTGGGGGGTGGGGTTCTCTTTATAGCATTGTGAAATATTTGTGATATTTTTTTCTATAATGAAAACAATAAAAATTTATATTTGAAAAAAAAAATAGTTTTTACTTTGCCAAACATTCAGGTCAGATTTAATAAGGGGAAACTTAAGTCGACTTGAATTAGAATTGAATCAGTGAAAAGGGAGACAGTGTCAACTAATACCCCAACCACACCACATTTTTAATTAAAAAAAGTATATAAACGTTATATAAAAGAGAAAACATTTGAGAGATAAAAAAATTCTCACTCCCAATTTTTCATAAATTATTATATAAAAGAGATATTTTGCTGTAACAGTTCTATTCTACCTAATAAAGAACCAAAGAACTCAATACGTTTATAGTCCAGAAATGGACTATCTTTAAATAGTCAACAGCAGGGTTCCTGCTAAGCAGTCCCAGCCTACTGACCAACCCTGCCTCCCTGGCAACTTTGCCCAGAAAGCCTGGTATCACCTCATGAGGTGCTCAGTGCCCTAGTCTTGCTAGACAGCACCCTCAGCTCTGATAATGTTGCAGACTGCAGAAAATGATATGGAGGGCCATATGTTTGAAACCACTGGTTTAAGACTTGCTTAATATTTCTTCAGTGTTACTATTACTGTTACATGAACAGTAATCAAGAACAAAGAAAGAAACAGCAATTGCAGCAGCTATACACTTCACAAAAAACATCTAAAGAAAACACGAAAAACAGAAATGTGGAACATTTTGTAATGAGTAAAACTCATTTTTTTTAATGTTTAATAATTTGAAATGGTTTTCTCTGCACATATGGTTAGGCACCTTAAATTGTACTAAAGTTTACAATTTGTATTTATTTATATTTATATGTATAAGCTACATCTGTTTGCTATGACAAGTGAGTCTATTCAAATTTTAAAAACCTTACTGACCTCATTTGTTTGGGAACATATTTTCTCTATACTTTTTATGTGCTTTCTGTTTCAAAAGTTTATCAACCCTTTAGGTAATTGGTTTCATTATGACATTGCTCTATTAAGTTTATTTTCTTCCTGTTAGCCTGAGCTCTTTTGATCTGTGGTTTCCTACACCAAGATCTGTTTACATCAGGGTCAGGAAATCTAGTTTTGGTCCTAATTTACCAAAATAGGGGTATGGAGTCTCCTGTGAGACCATGGAGCTGCTCTATTACAAATCACATTACCGGCCTGTTCCCATTATTTCTATGCAACTTGCTCCTGTTTTCTTTTTCTTAGGATCTGTACTTGTAGAACTAACCACAATCCCCTTATACTTCAATCAAATATTTCAGTCAAAGGGCCATGGTGAGTTCTCTGCACAACTATACATGGCATAAGATATTATTTATTTAATCCATATATTCTACACCTCTTATATAAAAAATCCATAATACTATAAACAAGAGTTCCCAGATGATATTGCTTAACTTCAGGAAGCCCAGTTGATATTGAGTCTCAACGTAGCTAGCTGTTCATGGATCTAATGTTAGCCTGTAGGAAAACAAAACTCTCAAATCATTCAGGACCAGTCCAGTAATGAAAAATTTAGGGAGGGGGGGTTCCTTCAAATTTGTTATGTAAATCTGTGTACTGAAAGAAACTAAGGAATAGGAAAAGAAAATGTAGGACAAATAGCTGGTAAGTATATTTTATTTTTCATTTTTTTAAATATTTCCTATCCTTCCCACCTAGGTACCAGCCACAAGGTAAAGAAATATTACAGCATCAAAAATTTTGAAAAATGTTTGATATCATAACTGAGTTTGCTTTTTTTAAAAAATGGATTTCTTATTTTAAACAATGAAGACAGACCACAATGAGCATTCTTCATTAAGCAAAAATATTCCTAATAAAGTTTATGTTCTTATGGTGAGAAGTAAGATATAAGTGATACCTCCAAAGACAGAAGCAATCTCGAAAGTCTTACATGTATTAACTAGTGGTGCCATCTGCTGGATCAAAAGATGTTTCTTCATACTTTAGAAAAAGCTGTAGAGAGGGATCCAGCCAAAATAATGCAGAATGCTGTTAAGAGCAGCAGATAGTTTTTCAGTCCCTGCATAGGCATTATGGGATAGAAAAGGGGCAACAAGAAGAGAAATAGCATTATTTTGTAGAACTGGAAAACAGTATTAGCACATTTGCCAATCAACACATTTCTGGTACAGATGTACATGCACTAGAATACATTTTATAAGATTATTAGTGGAAAGATTATTATTGCCAACTTTTTAAAAATGGCATACACATTTTAGGGCCATATTTAACTTCTGAAGCTGCACTTCTAAAAGTAATAGGTGGAAATAGGACATAAATTAAATTTTAATTAATTTCATATACATTTAAAGGAGATTAAATGTAAGCCTCTTAATCCAACTATTTTTCAGGCATGAATATAATTTTTCCCATGTGTTATGTTCAAAATAACAAATGTCTTGCTTATCAACATAAATTTTGGGCTCAATTGTGGTTGTAAGTCGAGGACTACCTGTACTAATGCTCTAGAGCAGTGGTGGCGAACCTATGGCATGCGTGCCAGAGGCGGCACTCAACGCCCTCTCTGTGGGCACACGTGCTGCTGCCCCAGCCTTGCCTCCTCCCATGACCCCCTCACCAGCAGCCCCCCTGGAGGAGAGTCGCCCCTGAGCATGGCCCATGCGGAGCAGCGCACCAAGGACATGGCAGCCAGGCAGCATAGACAAGACTCTGCCCTCACACCCCATCACGCACAGTTGATGCTGCGGGGCACAGGCAGAGGGCATGGCCGCAATGGTGCTGCTGGGCTGCCTGGGTGATCTGTGGCGGTCCCTGGAGGCAGTGAGTGGCCCTGCGGGCAGGCGGGGAGGGGACGGGGCAGGAGGTGGAGCAGGGGTGGGGCCAGTTTTGGGGCACTCGGTCTCTAAAAGGTTCGCCATCACTGCTCTAGAGAAAATAGAAGAAACAGACATGCAACCCAATTATCTAATTTACTGTGCCCATTTATTAAAAACACACCAAATGTCACAGGGAAAGATTAAGGTACTGTGTGGAGGACATTACTTTCACTTGTTGTTCATACCTTTATTTCTTTAAACACCAGCACTCCCCACACTGCAGCTATAAAACCAGGAGCCTAGAAGACAAATTTGATGAACAGTATCTATGAATATACCTTTTATTCATGCTTTTGTTATATTTTTATCTATGACAAAATATTTGCTTCAGTCTTGCTACCACTAAAATGCAATCATTTGGTAAATGGTTGTACATGTTTAAGACAGGACAAAAAAAACAGAAGAAAATACCGGTTTAGGAAACAGAAAGAATTGTAAAAAAGATTTTGGATTATGATTATCTAAAATGTTATTATTGGCCTCTGATTATATCTTGTATTTTAAACTAGCCATATTATGTTAGGGCTATGCTGATATTGTGTCTCAACTAAGAATGGAAAAAAGCAATCACTAAACAGAATGGAGAGAAAAGAGAAATGCTCAGGTGAAAAAATAAAATGAGGTGATGACCAACATCAAAGGGTAGGTGAGAGAAGACCAAGCTGCAGTTTCCTCCCTTTCTGAATCCTGAATAACAGCCTTCTTCTAAGTTAGCATTATATTAACTAAATATAAAAACTGATAATGTAATAAGCTGGTTCTGTTGTTTATAACTGATTTCATCTATATATTTCAGCAGCTGCACCAAGACTACATTAGAAATTCCTGAAAAACAAACAGTTGTAGTAAAGTGATGATAAAGAACATATAACTAAAATGGTACTGGTCAGATTCTAGAAGTGAAAGATATCCTTCTACTCAAGTTTGTGGCAAAACCAGTTTGAAAAAAAAACTAAGTTCTTGTATACAGTCATGATAAACATATACTTGGGGCATTTCTTTGCTGTTTTTATTGCTGACAAAACTGGAAAAAAACGAACTAAACAAATACGAGCACCAAAAATTAGGATTTTTTTTTAAAAAAAACCCTCGTTTCCAAGTTATTCAATTTCTTTTCTGCTAACAGCATGACCTCAATTTTGTTCTGAACTTAAGATTAGATTAGAATCATAATATATATGTGGAAAATAGAAAAAAAGTCAACAGGTTAGCCCAAACATTACACTAATCTTCAAATCCCTCTCTTAACCATGTGCTATTGTATTTAACATGTAGAAAATCCAAAAATGGCTTCCATCACTTATAAAGATGTCTAATCCATTGTCTCTAATCAAAGCAGTGAATTTTGCCATCTCTGCTTCCGTCAATTTTAAAATCCATTCTTCAACAGTCAGCATCTCTTTTCCTATTTTTATTGTCACTGTATTGGTAGAATGAGTACTACCACCAAGTTTTAAAATTACTTGGATATACGTGGGGAATGATCAACATTCTTATTACTTCCCTCCATGGTGTCATATACTTGGAGAAGAGGTGGGAGAAAAAAAGGAAAAGTCCTGATCATACTTATAACACAGAGTCTGTCAAGTGCATCAGTTGTGAATGTTGATCCTTGTTGGATCATGGGAGGGGTAGGAATGCTTGACTTTCCCTCTCTATAATGACTTTGAAACCAAACAGAATTATCTGGTGGGCCTGATAATTGTAGGAGCACTACAGCAAGACTCTACAGACAGAAATGCTACAGAAGGAAATCTGACGCCTTTGGCTTTGACAGAGTTTGTAGGTAGCACTTTCTAAGTTTTGAAATCCTGAGCTTGGGAACTCTCCCTTCCAGGCTTCATTGACCCTATCCTAGAGTTTAAAAAAAAGTAAAGAAATACCTATGGATTTTACTCCCCTAGTCATTGCTGACTATAGGGGGAGGTGCTCATCTCCTTTTCAAGGCCATTGAGCCAGCGCTGTCCAAAGACATTTCTGTGATCATATGGTTAACATGACATCGTGGAGTGCTTTTACCTTCCCATTGTAGTGGTACCTATTTATCTGCTTGCATTTGCATGCTTTTGAACTGCTATGTTGGCAGGAGCTGAGGCGAGGATGGGAGCTCTCCCTGTCGCATGGCACTCAGGTCTCGAATCTGGGCTGCTGGCTTTCCAGTCAACAAGCCCAGTGTCTTAAACGCTGAGCCACTGCGCTGCTCCTGCCCTAGAGATAAACCACAACAGAAACATCCAGGACGTTCCCAACACTTATGTCTGTCCTAGCAATGTCAGATAGGAGAACCATGAAAAAAATAGGAATGCTCACCCTATTTTGAACTTTCTTGATTAATTCATTGATTGGAGCCAACTGTCTTGCATAAGCAGACCCATTTGCATAAACAGAGCCAGATGAAAGTCAATTTAAAATCTGAGATCAAATAATATTCTCCCAAGGAATAACATAGCATATAATTCATTGCATAGAAAGAAAGCTTGAACATAAAAGAGATGCTTCAGTAGATGCTCTTCTCCCATTTATTAACCAAGCAATTTCTCTGATACTTACAGCAGTGATTATTGGGAAGCTCACAACAGCACTGAGATAGTGGTTTGCTATAAACCAGCAGCAATTGGCTATTGCCCATAATGTTCCAGAAATAAATCCTGACAAAAGGTAAGAAAAAAGATTACTATAGTATTACATCCTGGAATGCTCTTGAATATTTTTGCCAGCATGCCATGCCCCTTCAAGGACATGTCATGGCTGTTACAATATCTTTGGGATTTCCTTCCTTGATTTCTTTTCCTTATTATTTTTAGGAGGGAAGGTGATATTTCTGCAGATTCTGAGCTTTCTCTGTTCACCCAAATATCCTCTCTCAGATCAATGTTATTGGAGAAAGAATTTGTTCTTTATATACACAGAATTTAAGCTAAAAAAGCTACATAAGGCTGGAGGGCAATTCCAAAAATAAAGAAACAGTTCATGTTGAATCTTTTTTTTTTCAAACAAATTTTATTGGTTTTTAATTTTTACATCAGAGTGCTCAGGAAAACACTGTGGTAAAGGGGAAATCAGTCATCCAAAAACAAAGTCATACATATGTAACTGGAGTTAATACATTAAAAATTTCCCTCTCTACTTCCCTCACATAATATAAGGAATTTAGTTTAATCTATTTCTTCATAAAATTCAATCAGTCCAAACAATCATCATCCTGCTTTAAGCTTCACTAATTTTGATTAACATATTCAAATTCATCTTAAGTAAACATATTAATAAGACTTTGGGTGTCCCTTCTACAACATACATAGTATTCCAACAATAACATTCTAGTATTTTCACATATATTCCATTTCTTAATTTAATAGATCATTGGTTAATATCCTTTCTTCTCTTATCGTAAATCTCTCTAGTTCTTCTTCTATTACAAAGTAATTTTCTATATGAACAGAATAAAAAAGAAACATCTCAGCCCGTTAAATAAAATTTAAATCTCAACCAAAATAGTTATCACGTCTAAGACAAACATATCATTACACAAATTATCATCTTACTAATTTCGCATAGTCAGTTAATTGTCAAATCAGTCCGAATCTCTAAAGCCTTTTTGACCCAATAAGTGAAAATTTAAGTCACATTTTAAAATCTAACTCTGGCTTTTTTTCTGTGCCAAGCTGGTGTCCATGATGCTGCATCTATGTCATCAAATCTCCATATTTGAATACTGGTATTTATCCACAAGTCATTCTGGTCAAATTTCTCCTCCCCATCTTCCAATATCATGTAGGTAATATAGTCAATTTTGTTCCATATTATGGTTACAGCTTGATTATCCAAGTTGTCATAACTTTCAATAGATCGCATCTGGAAGTCAGTTCCTGTTGGTTTTAAAAGTAAGAGTGTTTCAGTTGAAGACATTCTGTGATCTTCAAAATTCTCCATGGTTTGTACATAAACTTGTGAGATATCCTCTTCTGTAGTAATTAGTTGACTTGTAGAGTGGTCGATTAAAGTCTCAGTCTGGGATTTTGGGTCCAAAGTTTTTCTACGATTCAATTGGTCAGTAGGTTCTTTTTCCACTCATTAAATTGTGTACAATGTTGCATATCGGCTTCTTCTTGGCCTATAGGTTGATCTTTTAAAATTTGAGGTTCAGCTTGTGGTTCTGCAAAATGATCTTTAATTTTTCTCCATGATTTCACATACTCGGTAGCTTCCAATATTTTTTCCAGTATAAGCTCATAGTCAAGCTGTAGGTAAGATTCTTCCATTTCCATAGTGAAATAGTCTTTTAATCTTTTAGTAAAAGCTATATTTATTAAAAGTCAATAAACATCCGCCTTCACAGTTTCTAAATCACAAAGTCAACCCACAGCTATTTCCAAACCTTTATCTTCTTTTATTATTATTTGAAGATCAAATCCATCTTCAAACACCTAAGAACATTACAATTGCAGTAACAGTTTTCGCCACAAGATGTCCTCAGTGAGCTTAGAAACTTTTTTCTTTCCAAGTTAAAAGCTTTTATCTCATTTTGAGAGCGAAACAGAAAGAGGCAGGAAGAAGCAAGTATCTCTGATATAGTAAGTAGAATAATACTCTATAATACAAGTTTTTCAGGGGTCCCAAGTATCCCAAAAATTAGAAGTCCAGTAAATGCTGTTCTGTAGTTTTATTCAAAGTAGTTCCAGTTCCAGTTTTGCGGCAACTGCGGTCGCGTGAAAAGACTCGTCTCTTCACCGGCTGATTTTCCTTCGCTGGTAGACCCCGAAGGGGGTTGAAAGTCGCCCTGGAGGGGCGACCACCGAGGAGGCTTGCTGGTGACTGTGGGAAGGCGGCAGCCTCGCCCGCAGCCCCAGCTGACTCCTTAGGGCCGACGGAGTAAAGATGGCTGATCATCTAGCTGCACCAGCCGAAGTCAAAAGAACAACTAAGCGTGAAGAAACCACCGCGGAGAAATCTGGGTGAGATTTTTTTCCCTCATACCCCCAACTATTTTTTTTGCAAAGAGCCTTTGGATGACTTCCCTACCCTAAGAAAGCGGTGTTCGTCTATTTGGGGAAAAATACTTTGAATAAAACTACAGAACAGCAGTTCATGCTGAATCTTAAGATCATATGTAAAATATAGTACAGAATTGTGGCTTTCATGTATTTATATGAATGATTTAGCTCTGATTCTTGAAATAAACTTGTATTAGTCTTCTAATCAGTGAAATAAAAGCTTTTCCTGTTTTCTATGTTTCCTAATGATTGACATTAGAATATGCGAGAATCAATATTTCTGAAGGTCTAGCTCCAGCAGACTGAGCTAAAGGGATTTATTTTTCTACTTAATATCTTTTCTTTGAAAACATTGAACAAGCACACTACATTAATTTAAGAATATTGGTATTTGATCTCAAAGGACACTAGAATCATGCCCAGAATAGCAGGCCTCATTAAAAGGTACTTATTGACAAGATATATATTCCAAATAAGATTATAAATCTGAATAAGGTCTTTGCTTTTGCTTGAAAATTATACCTGGTATTATAGCTGCAGGATAAACCTTAGGGTTATTTTTCATTGCTGCACAGTAGATCAGAAAGTAGACGGTACTTGTAAGGAAGATACCACTGAAGTGGGCAAATACATAATCTAAATCTGAAATAAATATCAAAAGATATACAATATATAAATATATGTTTAAGACATATATTCAGGAACTTCACCAATGTTATTCATTGATGTGATTACTTAGGCAAGGTCACATGTTGCAATCATTCACTGTTTATTAACTGGGAGATTTTTGTTCTAATTAATCAACATTTTCATATCTCTAACAAAAATAAGCCAAGTGTAAATAGAAGACCCATAAAGGTTAGGAACACCCTGGACCACAAGAGTTACATAGCAGTGCCCACTGATTAAAAATAATGTCCCATTCCTATTATTACAATCTTTTCAGAAAACTGTGAAGCAAAGAAATTCTAGCAGCAAAAATTATAGCCTTCAGTGAGTTGCCTCTGGAGAACGGGACCTACTGATAGTTATAGATGCTAAAGACAATTAAACAATAGAAACATTACAGAAAAATATGTATCCTCCCAACTGTCTCCCTTTTTAACTTTTTCTTTAATTTTTTAAAAGTTTTTTAAAACATTGAATAATATTTTAAGACAATGCATTCATACACTGAAGCCATTTTATTTTTAAAATTATATCTTAAAATTGCTGCACAAGAATGTTCACTTCTTTTGCTGAGGATGAGTAGTACTTGCAAACACTACTGTTTCAGAGAGCATTGTGATTTTCACTATAGAGGGGGAAAAAAAGTCTAATGTCTATTTTGCATAGGATAATGGATCTCTCTCTCCTCCGCTAGACTGGCAAGGTTTTAGAGGACAGAAAATACAATGGAACTGGCAGCCATCCATTGAGATCTGAGACAGAGATTGCCCAGAGTCCTAAGGAGAGGGCAAGTCTCAAGATTTTGGATCCCCTCTTCCTGACCATGTTAGTCTGCCCCTGAAATCCACAAAACAAACAACACAAACACACATAAAGAGAACACTGTACATGTGACCTTCAGTATCCTTACTTTCACTAGCCATATTTTCTTGTATCCAGAGTTATAAAATATATACTGAATGCAAAATCTACAATAAACAGTTTCATTTTCCCACAATTTTTGATGTAATGCCTACAATTTGCAGACTGGTTTTTTACTTATAAAGTACTTTTTATGGTCTCAGTTTCCACAGTCTAGTTATTTGGAGCTGCTTGGCTTGAAGAGAACCTCAGTAAATAACAAGGGCAATCTCTCTCTTTTTTAATTTAATCAGTATATTATACTATATTTTATTTAAATCAGCATATTTTCTTAAGCTGTATGTAGCAATAAATTCTTACTAATGTGATATTTTGGGGCAAATCATCCAAATGGCTATACTTTTAAATCTATTAATAAAAAGAGTTTTAAATGTAAGGCAAATTTAGGATCAGGCCAAATAATATATATTCATTTTTCTAAAGTAAGCAATTGATTTTAGACAAGAAACTCTGCTAAAAGTTCTGAAGCAAGTAGCATGAGGAATGTAAAAGGAAACATATGTAAAAATTTTCCCTCCCTTCCATATACCATAAATTGCCACAGTTCTCTTCTAGGATATATGACTTTCAGAAGAAGTCATCTGCTTTTACCAAATTGACTGGCTCCTATATATATAGTCCCATTTCTTCTGCCGTGGTCCTTGATGTAAAACACAGGTATAAAACTAGAGCCGTAGAATATCCCAGCTATCATAGCCAGAAAGCAGCCTCTGGCAGGAAAAGAAAGACAGAAATATTTTAAGTTGACTTAAGTCACAACATTAATTGCACATGAAAACAACACTGCTGGAGAACAGCCACTGATTTTCAGAAATTATTATCTATGAGGAAACAGCAAAAGTTCTTGACTGCAACCAACTATTTAGCTTACCAACTCTTTTGTCTAACAGCTATCACAGAACGTAAGAGAGGGAATAAGATGGGAGAGAAAGATGCCCTGAACTTACACCATTCTCTTTCCCGATGGAGAAAGGTTGTCCACCCAAGATACATCATTCCTGTTTTCGACTCTGTCCTCAGAAGTGTTGATAGACTGTTGATGAAAATCAAAACATTTAATCTTTTTAAGATTTCCAAAAGCATTTGAATCCATATAAACTTGGACTCAGTCTACACATGATAGACAGAACTTTGCCTAAGGGAATTAAGTGGTACAATAAAAATTATTTTGTTTTGAAAATCCAGATCAGCCCATTCTCCTGTTCTTGAAGACTTTATATCACCATTTATAATAATTAGGCAAATTATACATTCTTTTGTAACATTTCATTTCTAGTTGCAAATCAATGCACATCTTTCTAATATGAGGGGACATGAATTAAACTGTTAATATGTTTTTTTTTGTAAAAAAAAAAGAAGTTGGTTATACATTAATGGAAGAAAGAACTGTCCCACTTATTTCCAAAATAGTTGCAGGTAAATTCTATTAACACATTCGCTGACATTATACAGTTGTAACATAAGAGCTGTGGTAGCGCAGTGGTTAGAATGCAGTATTGCAGGGTAATTCTGCTCACTGCCAGGAGTTCAATTCTGAGCAGCTCAGATTGACTCAGCCTTCCAACCGTTCAAGGCTGATAAAATGAGGACCTAGATTATTGGGGGCAATATGCTGATTCTGTAAACCACTGAGAGAGAGATGGCTGTAAAGCACTATGAAACGGTATATAAGTCTAAGTGCTATTGCTATTGTGTATCCCTAAACACAACCATTCGGAGATCTTTTTCTTTTTCTGATGCTGTTCATTGATATCCATAGCCACTCTTGTTCAGCCCAACTGTAATGATATGATATAAACCCAATTAATATGTACTATCAATCCTTTCCATTCCTGAAATTGTAGTATTGACTTCCACACCTCTTCTACAAATGGTGCTAGAGTTCCTATTATGCCTGCCAATCAAATGAAAGCATAGTATACTGGCAGGTACCAGAATATTATCCTTGCAGCAAAAAGATGTTGAGAACACAGAACTGGCTATTCTCAATTTTGGCCAATTATCCTAATAAGACTTTTCTAAAATCAGCAGTGCAACAACTTCAACCTTTATAAATCTGTAGAGATTATGGTTTTCAATGCTGTCTGCTTTCCACATCTTTTTTTTTTAGTTATGGAAAGAAATTCTATATTCTTGAAGCTTAATAGAAATTAGAGGACAAGGTAATCACCTGTCAAATAACCAACAGAACAAACAGATGCTTTCAAAGATTAGGCCAGCTATTAGGCATGTTCCCACTTTATGCACATAGTTATTCAGCCTTTAATAAATATGTAATCTAACTTTTAAAAATTCCTGTTTGAGTATATCTACAATAGTGAAAATCGGCAGTCAAACAGATTCCTCCAAGGAAAAAGAAGGTTTGTACCTTATAGGATTTATCACAAAGCTTTGGACAGCAAGTGGCTGGAATAAACCTCATATTAATGATGTTTCATAACAAAGGCATACATTCACTGGGTGACATCCAATGTCATATGATGGTACTTTTACATCGTTTTAAAGTTTTGCTGATTAAGGAATCTTGGGAGCTGAAGTCTACTTATCTTAAAATAGTTGATGTTGAATATCTTTGAAGTCAAGGACACTATCTGGGCTAATTCTGCTGCTGAAATAAACTTTTTTTTAGGGAAAAATCTAGTTGATAGTTTTTAGCCACCATCTTGAAAACTGTAACAATAGCAAAAAGAAACATACCTGTTCTCTTAATAATGGAGTGCTTTCTGAAGATGGTGAAGAGTTTTGAACTTCACTTTTTATGAAAAGAAATATGATGGAGCTGCAAAGAGATAACATCAATAGTCATCCATATAGGTAGTATATGTTTGAGGTAACTGGTGTTTTTCTCTTTACTTGCTATGATATATTATTCTTTACTATCTAATCAAAAGCATATTTACACATTTTCTGAACATTAGTAATTTTAAACAATCCAATATTTATTTTCTTGGAACACATACAGGAATCTAGTGAAATATCCTTTCTAGTAACGCATGCTTAGATTGTAGCTTAGATCACAAGAATAAATAGATATACTTTGATTCACCTGATTTGGAATGATTACTTACAGATATTTTAAAATCAAAGTACTATAATAATTAAGAGAATGATAATGTTTTCAAAAACCTAAGTACTGAAAGTGCTGCTCCGATGTAATTCAGAACTGGTTTTCTGACTTCTTCTGGGTCAATTCCAAACCAACCAAATCTATGAAAGGTTGATTAAAACATGTATTATTTTCTCCAAGTTTCACAATGATTTTTTAGCTATAGAAATGAAATTAGCACAGGAAAAGAATAAGAAAAAAGGATATAGTTACAGATAATCAGTAATAACTCTTACATAAATACTGTACATATTTTTGTATATATATATTTTATATGAATACATACTCCTCTTTACATAATAGCTGCTTGTAATGAATTGTGCAAGAGGATTTATATTCTCTTGTTCAGAAGATTAGATTTTTAAATTTTAGTGTACTGGTTATATTTGAATGTAATTATTCCATATTTATTTGCTCCTATGGCTCGAATACGTTATAGACCTCTTTTGGCAGATTATGTCTTCTCCCAATCTCCCATCATTAAATTGGATAAGTTTAGTGAGAGCATGTAGAAATGCTAATAGACATTAAGCATTTAGTAAATGACAGTCTGTTACAGGCAATTATATGTTTGTATTGTAGAAGAGCTTTAAAATGCTAAAAAGTTTAGATCAGAGATTGCTACATTGACTCCTTGAATGTTGCTGAACTCTAGTACTCACAGTGCACCATAACTGCAGCTTGATTATACAGATTATACAGATATACAAATAAATGATTTCTGATGTTGAACATATCATTCAGCAACTTCTAGAGGTCCACATAAGATAACCTTTATTGTCATTTTTTTTTACTGTGGGCACAATGGCACACATCAAAAAAATGAAATTTAGTTGCCCACTCTCAAAGTGAAACACATACATGACACACACCTAAACATACTATATACAACATATGTATAGATCCACACCCCTACATATACGTAACAAATAAATATACTGTCCATCTTGAATATATAACGGAAGGAGGAAGCTTGAGAGTTCACAAAGTTAATGCTGTATGGAATGAAACTATGGCTGAATTTGGATGTTCTGCTACGGATACCACGAAGTCTCCTCCCAGAAGGTAACAAGGAAAACAGATTGTGAAGAGGATGTGTAGTGTCCCAGATAATCTTACAGATCCTGCTCAAGCAACACTTCTGTGCTATGTCCTGGATGGGAGGGCTAATGCTATTTGGAAGGTATTACAAAAATTAAAATTCTTCTAAGATAT